TACCTGTGTATCTTGCTGCTGGGCAGTGGAGTTCAAAATGGTGACCAGAGTGGTCACAGTGGGGCATTGTGGGACACCTCCTGGAGGCTATTAAAGTTGACTTAAGTAATGCAGTGTTTATACTGATGTAACTCTTCTGCCCATCAGAGTTGGCAGCAACAAGGGCTGGGTTCAGTATCTTGGGGTTCCATTCCAATAACACGATGCAAAACCGGCTCAAGCCCCCCCCACCCCCCATGACCTGGGACAAATATATACCACCCCCGCTAGGCGCCTCTAAGAGGCAATACTTCCGCTCTCGCAAGCACAGAGTCTGAGTGTAGCAAAAGCCTTTTCATAACTGAGAAACAATGTGGCGTTATGTTGGGGAAACACTACCAACAAGATTCATAACACAACCCATGAGCAAAAAACCAACCCCAAGCAAATTGGGGCGTGTCCTTTCTCTTTGGTTCTTGAGTCCAGCAACCCAAAGTCACCCAAAGTCCAACAACCCCAAAGTCTCTGTCCCTGGTCAGTGCAGCACCAGAGTTTGAAAGTCTATCTGCAGAGTTTTACCTCCCAACCTGGGTGGAGATGGGGGGGGGGGGAGTTAAGGGGCACCTTACGTGGTCCAAAGCCGATTGCCCCACCTCTCCATGGAGCTCTGCTCTGCTCCACCAGCCGTCCCACAAATCGCTCCCCTCTGCCAGCCGTCCCATGAGCCACTCCAGCCGTCCTGTGAACTGTTCTGTTCCAAGAGTCTCTCTATTCTGCTCCAGCTGTCCCACAAACTGCTCCACAATATATCTTTAGGCTCCCCTAGTACTTAACACAACACTCAGTGATTTCAGCTCTTAGTAAGTTTAGCTATTTTGTGATTTCAGCTTGTAGTAGGGGAGCCTCAGTGCTGGTGCACCATTGGCCCAAAGTGAATTCAGCTCAGCAGTCTGTAACTAGACTGCTAATAGAATCAAAATTAACTCCAATATTCTACAGTAGAGAGAGAGAAGAAAATGCAATTAGCATATAAGACCCTCAGGAAGGATACCACCAAATATTAATACCCATCCCCAACCTCTCTCCCTTCACTGAGTTTTGGAACCCATGTCCCTTGCCTAGCGGGTGCTACTTAGTTGATGGCGAGTCCCTCCGTCATAACCAAAGGCCAAGTACAGTTCCACTGTCCTTGATTCACATAATCAGGATAATAACAATTTGTTTTTCCTGCCCCAATAACAGAGACACTGGGGAATCCCACAGCAGCCAAAGTGACAATTTGGGCAGCTATGGGCTCATGCTAGGCAGGGTGGGTGTGCCTATGCAAATGAGATCAGCCCCTGAAGTTCTTTTCTACAACTTGCCACACCTCACCACCAGATGTCAGGGTGGAGCTCATCTTGACTCTGCTTACATCGACACTGCGTCAACCTGACTATGTTGACTAAACGCTACGCCTCTCATGGCGGTGGACATAAGTCAGTGTATTTGGTGAGTTACATCAGTGGGTGCAACATTTTAGTGTAGACAGATACGGAGCTAGGTTGACGTAAGCTGCCTTATGTCAATCTAACTCTGTAGTGTAGACCTGGCCTCTCTCACCAACAGCAGTTGGTCCAATAAACGATGTGACCTCACCCATCTTGTCTCACTAATATCCTGGACCAACATGGCTACACCAACACTGTATACGTGTTCCTTGGCTTGTTTTTGCTCTCCCGCTCCCTCAAGTTCAGTGTCCTGATGTGTAAAGACAGGACTTTGTTTGCTCTTAGCAGAGGCAAGTGGGCAAAGTTTCATTAGCATTAGGAAACATAACTTCCCATTATGCCATTGCCACCAATATATAATCTTCAAATTTCCTTCACATTAACCTGGTTGTCTGTGACCCACTTCAAAGCATTATTTTCTACCAGGGTGCGGTTAGATACCTGGTGAAAGGAAATGCCTTCCTTGCTGAAACCCAGGCAAAAGGCCCTTCTTTGGAAAGAGTCTTTTCAGGTGTAAATTGACTTACACCTCGGGAGGCGTTAGTCAGAGCCAAGGTGGGCTTGCTGGTTCAGGCTGGCTTATCTTGTAGGCAGTTATATTTAGATTGCAGATGCACTAAAACCACACAAAGGTAGGCCTCAGTGAACAGGCAGTCACTTGTCATGTCACCATTAATGTGACACTGTACCGTCTTTTCTGTTGTTTCTTATAAGGTTCTTAGTAGCCTAGTAGGAGGCAATGATGATGTGTCTTGTCCCTGGAGCCCTCCCCAGGGCTGGGGAGCAGCAAGAGGAACTCTTCACTATGTGGGGTGCAGGCATGGAGAAGCAACAGCATACCTGGGAGTGGGTACCGTAAAACAGAGGCAGGCACAGGCATACCAGGTAGAGAGGGGGAGACTTGGCCCTCAGCACGTCTCTTCATGGTGCTTTCACGTCTGCATGTGCTGCCTTGCTTATGTGCCCTACACAGTCAGCAGCGGTGGAACAGAAAAAAACCTTTAAAAATTGACGAAAGGATTTACCACGTCATTGCGTCTGTAGGTGGAGCTGGACACTCAATGAAAGAGCAGTGGCTGAAGCTGCTGCCTGGAGTATGTGTAGGCAGCACAAGGGGATGCCAGAGATTCCTCTGCCTTCAGCAGTTTGGTGGGGAAAGTGCTATACAGGGAGTGGGGAGGGGTTACAGGGACTAGGAGTGGCTAGAGATGGGGATCATGGCAGTTACAGATACCCCAGTGCCTGCACTCAGAGCTGTTTAGTCCTTCCCCCTGCCCCCATCCCCTTCCCACCTGACCTCAGAAGTTCACACCCTTCCCCCCACCAAACCTTCCTTTACCCTGTCAAGCCTTGGCTGGGAATCACTCCCCTACCCAACCAGGGCCCTGCTTCTTCTCGAGTCAATAGTTGCAGAGGTGGCACTGGTAAAGCCAAGGTTGGTTACAATCCCTGCTCCCGCCACCCCATCTCTACTCCCCTGCTGGATCCTTGCTTCCACATCATCCTCCCACCCCCAGGGCCCTGCTTCCTTCATCAACATGATGCCTCCCCATCCCCATGGATCCCTGCTTCCTCCCCAGCATTACAACCTTTCCTCCCTTCCAAGTCCCTGCTTCCAGTCCCCACCATGCCCACCCCTTGGGGGTCCCAGCTTAGTACAACTACGGGTGCATCTAGGTGCCCTAGTTGTGGATCAGGACCCCAAAGCCAATCCTTGGCCTGAATAACAAAAAGGAGGTGGTAACAGCTAACTGGCCAGTCAGAAACTAATTTCAAAAATCTGTGTTGTCAGCATCCCTTTAACAAGTAACTGTTCCCCTGCAGTGTGTGCTCCCCAGGTACTGCAGTGTTGGGCCAGTGCATGGAAAACTTTATTCTGGTTGTAGGGACATGAGATGTAAACAAAGACCAACATAAAAAAATAAATTATGTACAGTCTGCGGTGGCTGTTTAGACTGTAAGCTCTTTGGAGCAAAGATTCGTTCTTACGGTTTATCGATCACCTAATACAACAGGGCTCTGCTTTTGGTTGAGGTCTCTATGTGCTGCCACAATACAAATGCAAAATAATAAAGTAAATTAAAATTTTAAAATCCTTTAGCTGACTACAGAACAGTGGTGTTTGTACGAGAGGTACACAAGTTTGGTTCTCAAAACTGAAATTTAATCTGAGGCCATCAAACCACATATTGAGTGCAGCCGGTGGAGAAAGGAAAAGGAGAGTTCTCAGCCCCACTGCTGTTCATAATTCACGATGCTCTGTCTGCGTGGGCATGTGCACTCTAAATCACCAGGATACGTTGTAAAGCCAGCCCCTGGTCTACTGCTTCCCCTTGTAAGTGCCATTGCTGATGCACAACAGGGTGACAATAGAGGGCCTGCATATACTTAATTAAAACCACATCAGTCATTGGTTTCCCCTTAATCTATGTATTTTTTTGTCTGGGAACAAGGGGTGTTGAGGTGGAGCAACATTGAGAGTTTGAAATGGCAGGTGTAAAAAATTAACTAAAATTAACAAAAGCATGCGATGGGGTTCAAATTCCTGAAGAAATTGTCAAAGCCCAGGCTTTCGTTAACTGTTTTAGTCAAAGGGGACACCTATTGTTTTGAGTCCCACTGCTTTGTTCCTTGATTGGTTACTGTTCTAGGACCAGTCTTACAATTAGCTCCACACAGACCTATACTACCACAGGGATTTGCACTGACTTAAATGGAACGCCATGCAGCAGCAGAAGTGCATAATATGGTACATTTTGCAGGATTGACTCCATAGATTTTTCTGCTAATTTTTCAGTCTCTTTGGTCCCTCTGTCTTCCATTGCACTGGCTCTCTCAACTCTGTAATTTCATATCACTGAAGGTAAAAATCTCGCCCTTCATGTTTAAAATTATTTAGCCTCCTAAAGATCCAGCTAGGTGTCCAGAAGGATTTTCAAAAGTGTCTGTGCACATAACTCCCATCAGTGGTAGTTAGGCATCAAGGTGCCGAGTAGGATTTTCAAAAGCCCCAAGCTGTAGCTTTAATGATCTGGCCTTAAGTAACGTGGAGAACTACATTTTTAGAATGAGAGGCCTGAATGTGCAGTTACTTCAATGTATGTGCAAGTGACCATTTGAAGATACAAATACGTTATTTGCATATGCAGTTGAGGGGGGGTGGGGTGCTCATACCAATATTTGGCCTTGATATGAACTAATTCTGTGGGGTGCTGAATTCCCAAATTTTTGTGAGAGCTCAGGATGCTTCTCCCCTCATGGGGGCAAGCCCTAGTCAGACCCTCTCGATAAATAAGACCACCGCACAGCTTCTCTTTTAGTTACATATCATGAAAGTATAAATACTGCTTTGCAAGCTGTACAAATGCTGCTCAGGCCTGGAAGATGATGAACACATCTGAAATTTCACTAGATTGATTTAGCACCTGAAAGCCTCACTAAACAAGCTAGCAATTTCATTTCTTTGCACAGTATTTGTGAATGTGGGCAGCAGTACTGCTGCTAAGAAGATTTGGAATAAACTCTTCACAATTCAACTTGAAAATCTGCTTTATTAAATGACTATTTTAGAAACAGGAACTTGCCATTTCATTTTTACACTCTCTGCTGAAGAAAACTTGAAACACAGAAGATGTTATGCAGCTTCTTTGTTTTCATTCCGGTACAAGGCTTTAGCTTTTTCAGGTCCTGTTTTGGGTTTCTTGTTGTGGGGGAGTACACCTCCACCGCGATCATACCCAAGCCATGAAGGCGGGTCGGCATCATTATATTCGTGCTTCTCTAGCTTGGCTGAATATTTCAAAACAGCTTGTCTGAAACAAAAATGAAAATGAATACCGTTGCACAAGCAATTTCTACCAAGAACATTTGTAAAAAATATGAACCCTCAGGGCCAGATTCCCAGGGTGACCATATTTCCTACCCCACTATGCCTTTTGAGAAGCAGCAGTTGATACAATAATGGTCTTAGCCTCAAATTCTGTCCCAGGACAAAGTAACTGTTTCACTCTGTATGAAACATGCAGTACAGTGGGTGGCTCTATGGTTCATGCTGTCATTTGGACATCTCCAGATGAGTTGGGGGTGTTACTGGGAGGTCACAGTCTCAGCTGCTAGTGGGGAGCAGACCTGGGGTAGTGCCGTCACGCGACAGCTCTAGCGGATGCTGAGCTAGCCTGGATGGTTCCTTTCCTTGGCCACAGCGAAAATTCCAAGGACATGGCCTTTGGTTTGGGGTTATGGAAGGGGGGTGGGGGGTGGGAGGGAAAGGAATATGACATGCACCACTACATTTTTCAGTACAGGGTATAGACAGTTAGTCTGTATAGAAGGGTTGGCCAAACTTACTGACTCTCTGAACTGCATATGACATTCTTCAGACGTTTGAGAGCCGGGTCGCACCTGCCGCAGCTAGGAGCTTCAGCCTCGCAGGAGGTGCCTGCCGGGGCTCAGGGCTCCAGCCCTGCTCCTGCTGAAGCCCCGAGCCCTGGCAAGTGCACCCCACTGGGCAGAAGCCCCAAGACGCCCTGTCCCCAACCCACTGGGCAGAAGCCCCAAGACCCCCCACCCCATTGGGGAGAAGCCTCTATCCCACCACCCGCTGCAAGACAGAGGTCCCGAGCAGGGACTGTCTCCTTGTAGAACGCCTTGCACATGTGGCCCCCAATATGATTGGGGTCTCTGAGTGCTCTCCCCATATTAAGATGTTTAACACAGAAGGCAGAACCATCTATGCCCAAAAGAGCATTGACTCTAAAGGGACAAACACAGGGAAATGTTTACGCCCTACAGGCAAAGAGATCAGGGCGGTGGTAGGCGGATTACATTATTTTGTTTGGTTTTCAGTTGAATACAGTAACCCCTCTCTCCTGCCCCATTCCTCACAACCACCTCCAGCTTTACATCCAGGATCCTTATGCCTTCGCCCACCATTTACATTTCTTCCGTCCCATATAAAAGAGCCATTCTCTCATACGATAAACAAGTATAATAAATAAGATGGTGATGTAGGTGCATGTTTTTGTGTTAGGTTTTGGCTTCAGGCAGGATTTGAATGTGGAGAGGGCCAATGGGTTTCTTCACCAGCTCAGGGAAGGAATCCCATACATGGGGGGAAACATGGAAGGAAGTGGGAAGATGGCTGTGGAAGAAACAGGCAAATGCAGAATCGTGAGTGGTATCATTAGCAGCAGAAAAGGGAATGGGTGGCTGATGCAATAAGAGACGAGGTTGGCTAAGCAGGAAGAATTCCTTTCTGACCACAAAAGCAGATTTTAAAGATTCAACATTACATCATTTAGTTGTTAACACATTCCTATTAACAAGATGAACACAATAGTTTACAAGTGTTTTTATACAAGCAAACCTATGATACAGATGAACCCATGTGCAGATGTATATGGTGGGTGATCAGCTATAGCTATCTAGTACAAATGCCACTTGTCCAGGTCTACTTTCCCTTTGCTTATGGAAAATTGCTTTCAATAAATAATGTCTAAAAAGTGGGTCTTATTGCACTATAGTAGCTATTACTACTTTTTTGGAGGCTTATGCTGCTCCGTGATTGGAGCCAAAATCGACCAGATTGCCAGAAGTGGCCATTATTTATCTGTCAGCATGTAAAAAACATATGGGTTAAGGAACGCTGCATTATATTACATTGTAGTTATATATCTAGAGCCTTGGAGCCAACACTCTGGGGAGGGGTAAGAGGACACTGCAATAAAACAAATAATCAGCATTAATGCAATTAATGCATTAATGCAATTAAAACAACTGGTATTCCTCAGTCAGAACAAAGCTTTTGACCTTAAGAAATGGGAGTGTGCAGCAAGGAGAGGGAGCGAAAGGGAAAGGTAAGAAGGAACCTAACCCAGCACACTGCAAACCTCCTCTATGATGTAAGAGCATTTGGGTTATATAAGCTCTAATCTTTTCTGAGCCTTGTCAGCTGCAAAGCTGTATTATTTTATGACTCTACAGCTCCTGCAAACATAGTCCCTGTGGGCTGAAACTTGGTGCTCAAGGAGCATCAGTCCAGAAATAAGCTTCTGTGTGCATCACATTTGAAAAACAGCAGTGTTCAGTGGCTAGAAACAGATTTGTATGTTGTTAGATATTTTTAATTGCTTCTGAAACTGCAGACTTCTGCTTAATCCTTAATCCAGTTTATGTGATCACTTTGTGCTGCCTTGATTTTTGAGCCTCAGGAATGTGTGGGAGGCCCAGGCCCCTCGTCCTGTCACTCATATGTACTAAACACACGGAAAATATTAATGAATGTTTCCTTTATACAAAACAGCATTAGTCCTAAGTGAATCACAGCTAATATCTCTATGCCGCCTATGCTGCCATACACTGAGGACTATTCCTCCTCTTTCACGTCCAGTAGTTGAAGCAGGCTGTACCAGTGTCACGCCTACATGGGGATTCTCTGGGGCACTCAGATGTGATTAGTTAACTGGTTGTTAATCTCTATATATGGCCCTATGTAGCAGGCCATATTTATTCCAAATTATGGGTTTTTTTATTTTAACATTTGCAGAAACCTGCAGCATGTTATTAGACTGACAAATGTCATCTCTAACCGTATCTGAGATTGGAAAGGATGGACCCTCTATTTGCTTGTAACTGCTTACTAGAGAGCTCTACGGGTTTGTAGCTGTCAAGATTTCATGATTGGTTTGTTTTTTTTTAAATCTAACAATAAAAATAAAATTGTAAAAAGGATGTAACCTAGTGTCATGAAATGTGCCTGAATGTTTATATGGCTGGGTCTGACTGCTAAGTGAAGTCTGGTAGGCCCGGGCAGTGTTTAATAAATAACAGAGGAATTCTTTTAGCAGCATGAAGTGCACATGGCTTATAGATGTCCCTGGCATCTTTAAACTAAAACCATATTTCTTCTATTATTTATTTAATATTTGTAGAGTGTGCAGGAATAGCCTGTTTTGTTCTGTAGACTAATCTCACTTTACACAGACTCCATCCTCTCAAACGCTAGTAATAGTCTTTGAAATGTGAACGTATCTAGGAAATGTAGAAAACAGACATCGCACACTTTGAAAAACAGCCAGGCTTTGCCCCTGTTTTTGTAAACATTGGAGTTGAATAAGCTCCTTAATGATAACAGTTGGTTAGTATGGAGAAAGAGAATTTGGGGCTATTTGTGAGTGGTATATTATGTATGACAAGTCTCTGCTTATTATTCCTTAGCTGAAATTATGGAAGTGGTGAATGAAATGCATAGAACCCTAAAAATAGTCCATGAAATTCAACGATAACACTATCATTCTTCCTACTGTCACTGCTGAAAATCTAAATCACGATTAATAAATGTAGAATCGTTGTTATATTGTGACTTCAACCCTGATGAAGCTTGGAAAGCCGAATGGAGTTCACAAGAAGTCACAAACAAACACCTTGTGAAAGATCCACCACAGAAAATCCCTGGCTTCAATCTTCTGCAAAGCTTATTTGCAACCCTAAACCATATTGGCACACGCCATGGCAGATGCGGATACTTGCTGCAAAAATGGAAATTAAAAACTCTCCAGTGTGTGACTGTGGTCACCCAGAACAGACCAGGGAAAATATAACAACTCAATGCCCAATTCACAAATACAAAGGATGCATCACAGCAAATACACTCAGCTACTCCAGATGCAATTATCTGGCATAACCATCTAAATGTCAAATTATAGTAGTTGATCTACATCTACATCAACCATATGAAGAAGAATTGTTGTATACTCTAATGATGATTTTGCTGTGATTATTGCCTAGAAACTGAATGTAGCTTTTTGTCAGCTTCCCAGTACAGGTACTGAAATACAACATTAAGTTTAAAAAAAAAGTGGAACTATATTGTGACAGAGTGGGATATGTCTGTACCAAACTGTGAACTCAGTTTTGTTTCGTTACTTCCCTTTTTATACTCTGTCCTCTATCCTGTCTTCCATTTTGTGTTCTGTGTTGAATAAATAAAACAACCTGACTTGGACAAGGTCATTCTCTTCCAGACCCTATCTTGCTAAGGGGTGTGTGGGACTTCTCAAAGAGGACTATCAAGATATGTCGTAAGGGCCATCAACTTGAGTGACTTTCAATGACTGGCCAATCTCAGGGGACAATAGTTATCTTCATGTGGGGCTTGCATGACAGGGGCTAGAATTTCCCAGCCTGCATATGGCAAAACAGGGTCAAAGACTAGAATAAAAAGGGGGCTTATCTGAGAAGGGAGGCCATCCACCACCACAAGCCAGAAGACCAGGCTGAAGAGAAAGCAGGAAGGCCTGCCTTGCCTGAAACGCTGATGAGATCTCTGAGTCACAGATGGGGTAAAATCAGACTAAGGGTGGACTCAGCAAAGAACTAACTCTCTAGTGGGTTCTTCAGCATAAAAATGACTGTGGTTACGAAATTCCTTGGCTAAGCCTGTATTCCTTGCTAGGCTGTCATGTTGTCCCTGAAAGTGTTAATCAAGAAGCTCAGAGTGCCCACAGTGAGGTGGGACTCTAAAGGAACATGTATACACACCTGGAGGCTCAGGAGGTCTGAATCATTGGTTTCAGGGTTGAAGGTGTCCGGGTTGTGGAGCCCCATGTTCCAAGGAAGGGTGGCAGACATGAGGTCTGGATCTGGGAGTGTGCTTCTGAGGCCTCAGAGCTAGGAACAAAGACATGGCTCTTCCCACGAGTGGTTGGGGCCGCTCACACCAAACTGGTGTCCATCCAGAGGGGGAGTGGACCAGGTTGTAACATAGATCACTTTACATTTCAATTCCAATTTCATAAAACAACCCATGTTTTGGCCTACACTTAATTAAACTAGAGGTGACAATGATATTTGTACTCATTCAAAGTTTACACTGATCTCTCAAGTTTGGCCCAGGAAGCAACATCTTACTTGGTAATATTTCTGCAGTACAGCATCTTAAGAATCCGGAGTTGCGTACAACCTTTCGAAAGGTATTTTAGTGTTTTGTCAGTAAGACGTACACAGCCTGAGATATCCAAGAAGTGGAGATAATGGCAGACTCCAGACAAATACTGAATACATAAATCCGTCATCTGTAAATCCAGCAAAAGAAATACACATACAGAAGTTAGAAGATTGCTGGAGATTCCAAAGAAAAACCAAAACACAACAGCCTAACTCAAAATTTTGAAGGGTATAATTTCAGAAAGATTATATTGAAAAGTACCACATAGGACATGAAATGTATGGAACAGATGAATTCTGACTATCCGAAATAGGAGACAAAAAAGACTATAAGTAACAGTTAAATGTTGGGAGTATATTTGGTGTCAGTCAAATATGATTCCAGTACATTCCAAAGCATGTAGGGATGTTTCAGCTAATCATAAGTCTGAAATAGCTCAATACTCCCAACCCCATAATTTTGCATATAACATATCTCATGTGGTAGGATTAACTGTTCTCAGATTATTCCATTTAAACTGTTAGACTGATCCATTTTAGAGTTAACTACAGGGAGAAAGAATTTTAATTTTAATAACACCTATTTCATATTTCGGTACTGCATCATAAATGTGTGTTGTCTTGTGACTGCTTTTGTTTATAGCCTAAGGTGTCTTTCAGTTTGTCCAAGACAGAACTATTCAGTGTCACTTTACAGTTCTATAGTCTGATCTGGAACTGATCACCAGTAATGCAAACTGAAGTTTGCTTTGGGCACCATATAAGGCCTCATTTCTGCAAGGTACTTAAGTGTGTGTGTAACTTTAAATATGTGAGTAGCCCCATTGACTTCAAAGGGAATACTTATGCCTAAAGTTATGTATGTGGCTAAGTACCTTGTTTAATTGGGGCCTAAAATCTAAAGGAAACTTGATGAACGCAAAAAAATCCTATAATAGGTATTCAATCAAGCCCAGATTATCCATGGCCCGAATGGAATGGAATGAGGAGTAGCCTTCCCCACCCTTGTACTTCCTATGCAAAGGCCAGGAACAATCTCAGTCCCTGTGATCATGGGAGTCTAACAGGGGCAAGGAGGAGACGAGATTGTAACTGTCTCCCCTTCACATGGACAGTAGCCCACAAAGCTGGACAGCCAGTGCACTATCCCTTCACACAGTCCCTCCTGGAGCTCCACCTGGAGAGATGCAGTTCTATAACACCTTTCCTCAGGGCTGTCATCAAGTCCTGTCACCAAGACTCAGAATAGGCCTGCTTCTGTATTGAAGTAAACAGAAGTTTGGCTAAATAGATGCAGGATCGGACCCTATTCAAGGAAATCTATTTTAGTCACATACACCAATCCTGTTCATGTCAGAGGTCATCTTTCCATTGAATTGTATCTTTAGAAATTCATCATTTAACTGGATTAGTCATTCAATCAGGGATTCATTTTCAGCCCTCACTATTTTCTCTCATTCATGTGGTTTGCTGCCCACAACAATTACATTATTTCTTTCTTCAAATAAAACTATTTAACAATTATTCCTTGAATTGGCTTTATGAACTCACAAATTACACAGGAGGTGTGGTTGTGCTATATGCAAACTGCATGCCGAGGTTTTTTGTGAAATGAGCAATGTTTGGAAGATGATTGTTCTACATGTCCTAGAAATGTATGTATGGAGATATAGATGACAGGGAGCCCCACTGTGCTCTCACTAAAGTCTATGGTTTTTCAATATGAAAAGGATTACAGTGGTCAGCTGTGCTCGTTTTCTGGGAATGTCCGAATTTCCAGAGCACATCTCACAACACTTTTACTGGGAAGTGAATTTCCTAAATTATAGTTCCTATGTTTTCTCTTTATGGCCTTTTTGTTTATTCAGTTATTTTTATATAGCTGATATTGCAGGCCAAGACTCTGCCAGGCATACTAACTTGTCCCTTTTAGAACAGGAGATTAGATCTTGCTTTAGTCTTTTTCTGATCATTTTTAAATAGTGTCTGAGTGGAAAATATTTCCTACTTGGCAGCTAGATACACTGTATTTATGCTGAAGATTGCCAAAGGCCCCCCCAACTGATAGGACTTTATAGAGTTTCAAACTGGGTTAAAGCCAACAGAAGCGCTTGCAAGATCCAGGATGGATTTGTCTGAAAGATTCTTGATGCTGGAGACCAAATATTCTAGACTGTGAACAGTTAGCAGATTTACTTCATAATCTTTTTAAGGAGAAGATATATAGACACAGGGTAGGGAGAGGAGAAATGTGGTGGGATGCAAGTGTTTATCTTCACTTAGTATGGAAAGATCTCTTTGCCTGTAGATTGCCCTGTATAGCATTATTGTTCATTATTATTATTATTGAAAAGTTAATTGAACATTTAAAAGCAGGAAAGAAATGTGAGAGACCTCTGGAACTGACATTTTGGCCATTGCATTTAATTGCTAATGGCTGAGGGTGGCTTTTAAAAGGATTCAGCATCAACCATTGACTTCAGTGGGAGCAAAATTAGGCCAACATGAGTACTCTTAAAAATCTCACCCATAGAAGCAGGACTCTTTCTGCAGAGGGAAATATTTGCGGACACAAACTTTTTTTAAAATTTACATTTGCTAGAATGCAGTAAATAGTTATTGTTATTAGTCAAGCAAGCAAGCATATGTGATTGAATAGACACAGGGAGCAGATGTGCTAAGTAAGTAAGTACTGGGACTAATGAAAATGACCTAGGCATTTATGTTAGCAGTAAAATGGAAACGGAGCCCATGTTCAGTTGGTGCAAAACAGACAATTGCGATGCTAGGGTCTAACTAAAGAGGTACTATGTAAAAGATATGGAAAATTGTCACAACACCGTACAAGGTAATGGTGAGGCTGAATGGCATTACATCAGTGATGAGTCTTTATTTATTTAAACAAATTAGTAACTGGAAATAATTTTCATTAAAATGTGTAAATAACTAGAAATACAGAACAAAAGTAATTCAGCAACTTCACTGAAGCAAACGTCGATATCGGAGTACGTGTAACAACACACAACATTCCATTGTCAATGGATCAGATGCAACGGAGCCCACAACTGTAACACCTATGACTCCGGGGGGGGTTCTGCGGGACTGTGTGCTCGCAGAACACGACTCCCCCACAGATTTCCTGGGTTGCCCTACGGAAAATGGCAGGGACGCCCAGGGAAGCCGTGAGTGGGGTGGTGGTGATGGAGGGAGGGCCAGGGGTGACCATGGATGCAGTTTTTTGGGGGGAGGGATTGCCCCCCTCCAAACAGAGGTGAGGCATGGGGGGCACACGGGGTTACATGCCACTGCCCCCCCAATTCTGCAAGGGCAGAGCTGCCCAGCTGAAGGAGGCTGTCTCCACTCCGCTGACTCTGCAGCTGAACGCTGCCTCCTGGGTCCTAGTGCCAGTCGTGCTCCCCTTCTGCGTGCTGGGAGCCTTCCAGTTTTCTATCCTGTGCAACACACAGTGGAGCTGGGTATGGGGGGGGGGGGGGAGATGAGGAAAATGAGGGAACGGGGGATGAGGGGGGAAGAGGCAGTGGGGAAGGAAGGGAGGTGGAATAGGGCAGGGGGAGGGGACTGTGGGAGTGAGGGGAGGGGAATGGAGAAGAAAAGGGGATAGGGGAATTGCGGGAGGAAGCAGGAGCCCAGCATGCGGCTTCCCCTCAGCAGCAGCTGGGGCTCCCCTGTTAAGCAGGCACATCGAGCTCTCACCCTGACAAGCCCTACCCCCCCTACACCTGGACCTCTGATGAGCCCCCCACACCAAGACCCCCACCCCACTGATCCCCAACCAGCTGCACCTGGACCCCCACCCCATCAAGCCCCACTCCCCCAGTACCTGTACCCAGCATCCAGCCCCCCACCCGAGCCCCAACCACCTTCCTGCATCCCCTGCAGAGTCCCATTGTCCCTGAACCCAGAATATCCCAGTTAGTCTCTGTGCATCCAGATCTCCCACTGAGCTGCCCACACTAAGACTGCCCCACACAGAAACCTCTTACCTCACACCTGGATCCCCCCACACTAAGTCCCTTCACACTTGGATCCTGCTGGGATGAGCCTGTCCACCCACACCTGGTACACCTGGTGCTGAGGGACAGCGCCCAGGGCATTTCTGGGGCAGGCCCAGCCCTTGCATTGTGTTAGGGTCAGGTGCAGCCTCACTGCCGAGTCTCTGTATCAGGGAGGTGTGGGCTTCAGGGTGATCTCCCACCTCAATGCAGCCAGTGGCCTGTGCTCCCCGCTGCCAAGCTTGAGCCACACTTATTTATTGACAAATAAAATTTGCAGAATTTTGCAGAATTTTAAAATATTGTGTGCATAATTGAAAATGTTTTGGCACAGAATTCCCTCACAAGTAACATATACACACACAGATAATAATATACTAACTATACGTACATTTTTCAAAATGTTTAAGTGACTTAGGTGCCTATGTCCCATTTACAAATGTGACTTGGGCACTTGGGAGCTTAATTCGTATGAAAAATCAATGGGACCATGGCTCCTAAATCATTTAGGTGCATTTGAAAGTTTGTGACCAGATCAATATTCCAAAGGTCAATGTTAGTTCACTGGTTTTAATTATTGGTGATTATTATATATAACATAGTTAATTTTTTTAATGTTGAAGAATAAGCTATAGGATGGTTGCAAAATGTGGACATCAGCAAGTCAAATGTCTCAATGATACATTATTTCATTTTATGTAATAGAATTTCTGGAACTACCCTTCCCAGCTCTTGTACCTACCTTGTGGCAACCAGCTATGTTGAGGGATGTAAGTTGGTGGCAGTTAAAGGCAAAAGCTTTGACAGTTTCATTTGTCAGCTGAAAGCAGTAAGAGACATCACAGTATTGTAGATCTTTTGCATCCTGGCAGAACCTCTGAAACACAGTTACAAACACCCAAATCAATCTCATGTACCTTTTTGGATGCTTACAGTTCTATAATACATTCACACTAATCTTCTGATTTACTTCAATCACTGTAACTGATTAATTTATTATTTTTCTCATATTGAACATGTGGAATAAGATACATATTATCAATGAGATTACTCAGTTGCATTCCATAACTCCCAACAAAAAAGGAGGAAATGCACCAGGTGACTATTTTTCATTTCTGACACTGGTAGATCACGAAGTGTGTTCTTCAGATCACACATAGCCTCTTTCATTTCATTTAAGTTTCATCGCACTTACTAAGATAGAAAAAAGACTGAGTTTGTGTCTTTTGCAATGAACATATCCAAACATTAAGGGTTACATTTCCAAGTGGGCCACAAAAATACTCTGTTCTCTATTGTGGCTTCAGATATCCTTGCTGTACATATTAAAAGGCATTTGGCAAGCAAAATAGGCAACTGTGTCTGGGCAGATTAATTGGAAGGGAGTATGGTCTAGGTGTTTGATCTGAAAACTGCAACTAAGGAGGTCTAGCTTCTTGCCCCAATTCTGCCACTAACCTGCGGTGTGACCTTGGGCAAGTCATGTAAAATCCAGCTTTTCAAAAGGCCCTCTTATTATGGGTGCCTTAGTTTTTTGAGGGTTCAACAAATTTACAGTCTGGTTTTCAGAGCTAATGAACACCTGAAGATCCCATTCACTTCAATTTCAGCACCTCTGAAATTCAGATCTAGTTGTTTAAAGATGGACACCCATAAAAGGAAATATCCAAACTTAGAGGCCATTTTTTTAACATTTGGATGTTAGCCTCTCTGTGCCTTAGCTTTCTTAACTCAAAAATGAAAATGATGGTTGTGAGCCTATTAATTAATATTTAAGAACAGAAGAACACAACATAAGAACATAAGAATGGCCATACTGGGACAGACCAAAGGTCCATCCAGCCCACTATCCTGTCTATCGACAGTGGCCAATGCCAGGTGCCCCAGAGGGAGTGAACCTAACAGGTAATGATCAAGTGATCTCTCTCCTGCCATCCATCTCCACCCTCTGACAAACTGGGCACCATTCCTTACCCATCCTGGCTAATAGCCATTATTGGACTTAACTTCCATGAATTTATCTAGTCCTCTTTTAAACCCTTTTATAGTCCTAGCCTTCACAACCTCCTCAGGCAAGGAGATCCACAGGTTGACCGTACACTGGGTGAAGAAGAACTTCCTTTTGTTTTAAATCTGCTGCGCATTAATTTCATTTGGTGGCCCCTAGTTCTTATATTATGGGAACAAGTAAATAGCATTTCCTTATTCACTTACTCCACACCACTCATGATTTTATATACCTCTATCATATCCCCCCTTAATCTCCTCTTTTCCAAGCTGAAAAGTCCTAGCCTCTTTAATCTCTCTTCATATGGGACCCGTTTCAAACCCCTAATCATTTTAGTTGCCCTTTTCTGAACCTTTTCTAATGCCAGTATATCTTTTTTGAGATGAGGAGACAACATCTGTACGCAGTATTCAAGATGTGGGCGTACCATGGATTTATATAAGGGCAATAAGATATTCTCCATCTTGTTCTCTATCCCTTTTTTAATGATTCCTAACATCCTGTTTGCTTTTTTGACTGCCGCTGCACACTGCATGGATGTCTTCAGAGAACTATCCACGATGACTTCAAGATCTTTTTCCTGATTAGTTGTAGCTAAATTAGCCCCCATTATATTGTATGTACAGTTGGGGTTATTATTTCCAATATGCATTACTTTACATTTATCCACATTAAATTTCATTTGCCATTTTGTTGCCCAATCACTTAGTTTTGTGAGATCTTTTTGAAGTTCTTCACAGTCTGTTTTGGTCTTAATTATCTTGAGCAGTTTAGTATCATCTGCAAACTTTGCCACCTCACTGTTTACCCCTTTCTCCACATCATTTATGAATAAGTTGAATAGGATGGGTCCTAGGACTGACCCTTGGGGAACACCACTGGTTAACCCTCTCCATTCCGAAAATGTACCATTTATTCCTACCCTTTGTTCCCTGTCTTTTAACCAGTTCTCAATCCATGAAAGGATCTTCCCTCTTATCCCATGACAACTTAATTTACGTAAGAGCCTTTGGTGAGGGATCTTGTCAGAGGCTTTCTGGAAATCTAAGTACACTATGTCCACTGGATCCCCCTTGTCCACATGTTTGTTGACCCCTTCAAAGAACTCTAATAGATTAGTAAGACATGATTTCCCTTTACAGAAACCATGTTGACTTTTGTCCAACAGTTTATGTTCTTCTATGTGTCTGACAATTTTATTCTTTACTATTGTTTCAACTAATTTTCCCGGTACTGACATTAGACTTACCAGTCTGTAATTGCCAGGATCACCTCTAGAGCCCTTTTTAAATATTGGCGTTACATTCCAGTCATTGGGTACAGTACTTTGCAAAGTACTTTGGAGACTCCCAGATGGAACGTGGTATAGAAGTACAAAGTATTATTATTACTAATAATATAGTCTAGTTTGCTCGCAGGTTCTTGCAGTATCTGGACATTTTTGCAGGTACATGTGTTGCACTCTCCTTTGAAAATGGGGTCTGAAGAGACCAAAGAAAGAAACCTGACTAATTTAATGTAGTGTATACTACACCTTACATTTAACCTTTGCATCTACGATGGCCAAGAATGTGAACCAGAATGTCTGACAAGCTGCAGGTTAAATAATTAATTTAAAATAGACTGTGCTTCACAGCTGCCCAATTCACATAAAACCTTACTTTGCATGAAACAAGGTAAGATGGATCTACATACTGTGGCATGTTTGAGTCTTTGCAATGAAGCTGCTATAAACAGACAAACCAATTCAGAACCACAATATGACACTTTCCACCTTCCCCCTCTGCATCTTCAGAAATCCTTTGGCTTGAATCTTTTTCAGGGGTTAAAGCTGTTTATTTCAGAACCTCTCTCTCTCTCTCTAAAGGGAGATGGAGGATGTCCCAGCACCTCTATCAGTGCAGGCAACCAACTGGACGTTGCCAGCTTTTCTCCACCATTCAAGTCCCCAGCCCAACTCCTTTTTGGGATAGCTCATTGTGGAGCTAGTGTCCTCTCTGCAGGGCCACAATACAAATGTAAATGACCTAAAATAATATTTTATACATCAAAATATCATGATTTTCATTTCCAGACAAGTGTCTCTGAATCTTTCATGGCTAGAAGAAAGTGCTTGGCCCTATTGTGAATCTCCCCTTTACAATGATTTGTAGCCCTGAAGGGTGGTAAGACATCAAATCTTAAACTTGTCACTGGTCCAGCCTTCCAGGACTGTTCAGCGTGGGCCTATCGCAAGTGTAATTTAGCATGGGATAGAGTGGCAATTCTACCTGTGTGAGGGAAAGAAGAAAACATTTATGTGGCAGACTGAGTTAAAAAATGGTGGCTGCTTGAAGCTGCTCAAAGGTTTCTAGTAATAGAAATAGTCCTGAAATACAGGGATTAGTGAAAAGAGTGGCAGGTAAAGGTGCATGATGAATGCAATTAATCACAGAGATACCACCTCCATATATGTGGTACATACTATCAGTAATAAAACATATCACATATACAGCTGTCACCCTAAAAAACAGTATTTACCAATAATTACCTGATTATTGTATCTGAGACACAGCAGTATTCTGCTTAACTTAAAATATGAATTCACTGTAGTATCTCAGATGCTTTGATGTGGTAATTGCTGGTAAATGCTGACTTTTGGATGACCAATGTATGTAAGTGTGAACTGCATGTGTGTGTGGGTATATATACAGCCAGACCTGCACACACTTTATAATTTCAACTTTATTTCATTAACCAGCTTTTAAATCTTACCATCTGTGTCTAGCGCTGCAGTTTGCTTTTTGGATCAGTACGGTTATGATAGGTCAGCAACTGCTGTTTTTAAGTACAGTATATATCTGGCTGTGAATGTTTTACTTTAAGACACTTTTGTTTTACTTTAAGAATGGAAATACAGAAATTATAAATGTTAGCTGGTATGGCTTTCATATTTTAATGCCAGTTTTGCAGGGTGTTAACTGCAGTGCAGAAAACTTCTAAACCCCCAGTGACTAAATTTTTTTCTCCTCATGTAAGAGAAGCCTAATTATCTTCAGCATTAGATCCCCACATGTGATTAAGTCATTACTACATTCCCAGTGAGGGTATGTAGTACAGGCTGCAGCCAGGATTTCAGTGTTTGTGTGATATGCTTAGATCATTTTTACTGGAATTGTCAAGCTGCTACAGTCTGTCATATGTACAGATTTAAAATATCCATAAAAAATTAGGTACTGAAGCTGCTCCTACCATTAAAACTCCCCACTAACTGTGAATACCACCATTAGCCCAAACATAGCTTTTTACAAGTTATCAGCTTAAGTCCTGAAAAATCATACAACAAAGTATTTTTATAACCTGTTGAGGAGTGCTGGGGAACTTAGTGCTGCCAAGAATTATTTTCTTTAATGAAAACAATAACTGGCATATAACATGAAAAATGGCATATAACAGAACATCTGAATATTTTGTTATGCGGTATCCTTTGTGTAAATTACATTTTACTTTAATAGACTGAATCTTTTTTGGGAGATAATCTATACAAGGCCTCCAAGTCAACACAAAAGGCAAAACAACCTTGCCAGCATGCAATTCCCATTGAATTTCATGTTCAGTGACAGGACAAAAATAACTGATAATGATTAAAGCAAATTAGATGTGAGCTTGAAAGGTAACGTTGTGACAAAAAAATGCAGTTTTGGGCCGTATACACAGAGTTATCACGCCACAAACAAGGAAGGGGACAGTCCCATTTTAAATAGCACTGGTTGGATTGCAACTTGACTGAATTTTTTCTGGGCACTTCAGTGCAAACACCGTGTTAATACTAGAGCTGTACGAATCATCAATTTTTTAGTTTGCTGGCTGAACTGAAAAAAATGTGCTTC